TCAAGTCACAGTTTTGCAAAGGAGTAGGCTTAGGTCCAGAGAGATGAAGTTCAGCGAGGGTGAAGGCAGCATCCAGACTGTTGTCGAGTTTCTAGAATATTTTCTCCCACTTTCATGTCACGGCTTCATTATTCTTTGTACAGAAAGGGAGGGTGCAAGTGTCAAATGCCAGACAGTGTAGAGGGTTTTTTTTTTTTTTTTTTTTTAGCTGATTATCTGCAGAGCCAACTCACTCTCTCTCTCTCTCTCTCTCTCTCTTTTTTTTTTGAGATAGAATTTCACTTCATCACCCTGCGTTGAGTGTTGTGGCAATGATAGCTCACAGCAACCTCAAACTCTTGGGCTTGAGCAATCCTCTCGCCTCATACTCTCAGGTAGCTGGGGCTACAAGTGGGTGCCACTATGCTGGGCTAATTTTTTTATTTTTATTTTTAGAAGAGACTGGGTCTCACTCTTGCTCAGGTTGGTCGTGAGCAGAGCCAATTCTTGAATATTCAGAAGGTGTTAATGCACTTCATGGATTACGCTGACTTGGGTGCATTTTCTTGGTCTCTCTTGCTTCCCATTTTGGAGCAAATTTGCCAGGTAAATAATGCAGACATTCAGTGCCACAGGAGGCTTATAAGCGCTCCTTTAGGGATCCTAATTATGGTTTCAACTCTCACTTATATGTAGACGCCTCCACAGACCCTGTTGCTGTGCCTCACCATTCTAGTTGCCTGAGAAACACATCTGCTCTCCTGTTCCATTATTCTTTCAAATTCAACATTCAGCACTCACTTAGCAAATACAAGCAGTATGAGTGAAGAACAGATGGAAACCACTTAGGCCATTAGAACAGTGCCTGGCACATAGAAATACTAGCAGAAGATTGTCTTCACCTTCGGGGTGCACAGACTCCACGAGGGAGATCAGTACCAGTCATTTGCAACACCAGGTGATAGATAAATGCTATGAAGGCAGCAGCATGACATGTTGGGCAGTTATGTGACAATGTGCCATCCAGGCCAAAGGGAGGATTATGGATAGGGGCTGGTACGTTCCCAGACAACTGACTCCTAAACCTTAAGCCAGTACCTTTCTCCTCAGAGTGGCTCCTTCTCACGTTCACTGATGATACTGCCAGTTTTGTTATCCAGGCTGAAAAGCTCAGTCACTGTTTACACTTTCCTTGTTCACAGATCCAGCGTTTAAATTAATCATGACATCCAGGCAATTCTTCCTTCTCAAGTTCTTCCCCGTTCTTCATTTCCTTTTCTCACTTTAGGTCAATTTTTTATCTTCTCGAGCTGGGACTGTTGAAAAGCATGTCATTTGAATGCTAACAAATTCTCTCCAGTTCTTCCTGCACTGTGCTCTGGGTTCATTTGCCTAACATACTTTCCTGCTCAAAACTCTCAAAAGTTCATTCACTGCCCAAAGGTTAAAGACAATCTCCTTGTTCTGGCAATATTCTGACCTTCTCTCTGAATCTCCCAACACTCCCTGGAAAATTTTTTGCCTTCCAGCTAATCGTGCCACTATCCTCCTAATTTACTCATCTTTTGCTTTTTACGCATCAGCTCTTTTGCTTTTATTTGTTTTTAAAGCATATATTATATCCTATCTCTCCTTAAAGGGCCGTTACAATTTTAACTTTTTGTGAAGCTACCTTAAAAAAAATATAGAATTTATTGTTTGAACTAGTCATTTGGCAATTGGTATGTATTGCCTTTTCTTTAATCAACTTTATATGGGTATAATTTACATACATATTAATGTGCGATCCTCATCACATCAGGATTTAAAACATTTTATTATCCCCATTTTCTTACGCACTTTTGCAGGGAGTGTTCCCCTGCCCTAGTCCTAGATAACCACTGATTTTCTGTCACTATATAGATAAGGGGCCAGACTTTGTCTCCAAAAAAAAAAAAAATTTGAAAGACAAGAAAATGATAATCCAACAGAAAAAAGGGGGTGGGGTTAGATTTAACTGGACTGTTCCCCAAGGAGTCTATCCAAATGTCCAATTAACATTTAAAAAGGCGTTTCCTTAATTTCATTAGTAGGGAATGCAAAGTAAAAACACTATTATACACTCTGAAAATGGACTCATTATAAGGCAAAAATTGTTCTTTTAGTCACATCATTCCACAAAATACAAAGGAGAAGCAATACTAAGTGTGGGCAAGAGTGTAGAACAAGGTAAATTGTCATACTGCTGGTAGAAGTGTAAATTGGTACAATTATTTTAGAAAATATTTGTTATGTATTATCCATTAAAGTTTAATGTAATACTACGACCCAACAATTCTACATATACACCCTCAGAAATATGTGCATAAGTGAACCAAAAGATATGTACAATAAAGTTTATGGCAGTATACTTACAATAGCCCTAAACCTGTAATAACAGTAGATGGATAAACAGATTTGGTATGTTCATACAATGAATTACTGCATAGTAATGAAAAAAAAAAACCTGCTGTTATATACAACAGTGTGAATGAATCTCATACACCTAATGTTGAACAAAAGAAGCCAAACACAAAAAAATGCCTACAGTATGATTCTATTTGTATGAACTCCCCCCTAAAGCATAATGGTTGCCTTTCAGGAGAGGGGAGGGGCTGGGGGTGGAGTGATAGGTGACTCCTGGGTGTTAGCAGTGTCGTATCACTTTGACCTGCGTTATGATTATACATGTTCAGTTTGTGGTAAGCCAATGACTTGTCCACTTAATATTAGTTTACTTTTCTGTATAAAGCTTAAAAGTCCAGTTGGATTTTCTTTTTTAAGGATGTAAAATTAACTATTAAGGAAAACTTAATCATGGCTTTATGAGGCAAAATATCAAACAGCATATAGTAGTCCTCAGAACCCCCTTCTTCCCTTGGAGGTGAACTATTTTAAAGATAGGAAATACCTACATAGCACCAATATCAAAACTGTGTCTGCAGTAGCTCCTCAATAAATGTTGCAAAATGACTAGAATTTGACTTTCAGTCACTTGCTCCTGGGGATATAGGAAGGAAAACACTGAGTAGGGGAAGAAGTCAGAGGTAGCACAAGCAAACTTCCTTAACAATGTTATTAGGCTAAACATTTATTATCGTCAACTCAAAATAAATTATTTCCTTATAGACTTTTAAAGTGACTACTATTAGAATCCACACATAGTTTCATACTAACTTGACAAGTAATGTAATATGGACTCTTAGAAATACTGACTGGGTACATTTACTGGAAAATAATTTTGGCATCTATTCTAGATTAATGATTAATCTTTGCTGTATTGTAAAACCTTTGGTTATTTCAGTAGCTTTGTTTTTCTTTTCCCAGTTTTTGATAGGTAATATAATTATAGGGAAGAAAAATAGTGTTGTGGCTCATTTACTATTTCTAGCTTTTATTACACATTTATATATATGGGTATACATATATATTTGGATAAAGTTTGCATAGGTAGTGATAGTGGATAGGTGGTTCAAGGAAAGGGCAGATGTCTTGACAGGTATTATACAGCATGGCTGAGAAGGAAAAACTGCAGAGAAATAAAATTCCATTATAAGGCAAAAATTGTTCTTTTAGTCATATCATTCCACAAAATATTTATTGAAGTCCTTAAATTTGCAAAATACTGTTCTAGGCACTGGCAATACCTTGGCAAAGAATCAGATATGGTCCCTGCTCCTGTGGAGCTTACATTCTAATGTAAGAGACAAACATCAAACAAACTGCACAATTATTTTGTGACAACTGTGATGAGTGCTATTGAAGCAAATGGAATATATGAAGAATGCAACTGGGGGATTAAGGGGAAAGATGTTTGAGCTGATTTTTAAAGGAAAAATACTTAATTGATGATGATAGGGAATGGGAGGGGCATAATTCCAAGGTATTGTGTGGAACAACTGAGCAAAGTCTTGGATTGGTAGTTAGTAATACTACCAATGTATTGGTATGTCCAAGAACTGAAAGGGTTTGGATGACTGGTGCACAGTAAGCAACAGGAACCAGTGGCCTTGGACAGGGCTGCTATGGTACTCAAAGGAAAAAAGAGACAGGTAAATTGGGTTAATAATTCTTTTCTTTATTGTAATAATTGCAGGATGCCATTAAAAGGTCTTATGCACTCACTTAAATGGAGGAAGCAGGTTAGTATTATTTGATCTAAAAATTACAGGCCCTTGAGGAAATTACTAACCTCCTACATGACCCTTCTAGTGTATACATTGTGGCTTTGGACAAGATGAGTACTAAGATTTCCTTCAACTCTAAAATTCTATGAATACCTCTGTATATTTAACGCTAAAGTGTCAGTTACAGGTCACTTGACTTATTCTTCCCACCTCTAGAAATAAACAACTTTTAGATCCAATTATAAGGTCTAATTTAATCTGTTTAATGGTGGTAGGAATGAAGTTTAATTGCCTCATATAAGGTTTGGAAGTCTTTAAAATGGGAAGTGGGGAAGAAGGCAGTAGTAACCAGATGCAAAATATGAATGCAAAAAAATCAGCGTTTCTAAGGATTAGAAAAGTAGGCAGGGAGGGTAAGAAGGAAAAATTCAGCTGGCCAGGAACATTTAATTTAAAGCAGCTAGTATCAAAAGGAAGTTTAGGGGTGGGGACTGTTTATTAGCAAGCTCCATCTTCATGCATAGCTCCCCATGTGCCTTCCCACATCATTTTTGACACTTAAATTGACTTTCCTCAGCTTTTGTAATATGTTATGCAAACACAGTTTCAAGTACCCCAATTCTTGAGATTTGGCTCAAATTAAACACTGCATGTTTAAAAACTCTAGAGAAGGAAGTGAAAGCAATTTAATGCTTTGAAGCACAAGACTGTGTGTGAGTTTCGGGAATTAACTGGGTCGCTTAATGCAAAGTGTTAATGCTAAATGGGACCTTGGAGATCACCTTTAAAGCACACTCCTAATTCTGCAGGTGAGAAAGTGCCTTCCCAAGGTAACAGTAAGTGGAGGGGGCTAGCCACAGCCCAGGGGGCCTTCCATCACCCTGGGTGGACTCTCAGGTCTCTCTTTACCTGTGAAACTGCAGCTCTCTTCTCGGCTCGGAGGCGCATACAGGATATTGGACCCTGGGCAGCCTCAGAATGTCTGGCTGCCTGAAGCTGTCCGCCCTTTTCCGGGTCGCTCTCTATGTCTTCCTCTTCTTCCCCCTTAGGTTGGGGCGGACACCCGGTGCAGGGTGGGCACGGTGCCGGCCACGAGCCTCAGGCGCTGGGAAAAGCGCAGTTTGTTCTGGATAACCGAAACAGGCAGGGTCAAAGTGGTGAGAGCAGATGACCGAGCGGTCATTGCCCCGTACCAATCGGCGCGGCAGCCCTGCACCAGGCGGTCCCACAGCAGCCGCACGGCCCGGTCTTTGGGGAAGCGGAACAGCGACTTCCCAGACCTGGTGGTGCTGCTGCAGTAGGCGGCCACGCAGCGGGCCGGCATGGCGGCCGCCTTCGAAGCGGGGAGCCGGGGAGCCCGCACGCCGGCGCGCTCGTCTCGGCAGCCTCGGCTAGGCTTACCTTCACCTGTCGCTTCGGGGTCGGGCCTGCTTCTTTCCCAACCTCTGGTCTCCGGAAACACCGAACTGGGGCCCAAGTGATAGCTTCCCCGCCTCCCTGCGATGCTCACCTGCAAGGCTTTCCTCTCCTCCCTGCGATGCTCACCTTAGAGCAGGTGACACCGGCAAAGGAATACAAATTTCGCGCTGGCCGTGCTGAGGCGGGCCGTAAAGAGGGACGGACCGGAAGTGGCGGTTGTCATAGCCACCGACGTGGTCGGCCTCTTCCCGATCTTATCCTGCTCTCAGTACTCCCGCTCTGTTTTTACCGGGACGGCGAAATAGAACGAGAAAGTGCCGACGCAGCAGCTTCTCCAAAATACAACCAGAGACTATAACGACTGTGTTGTCCTGTTGATTTGGGCGAGGACCAGACCGGAAATGGTGGTTTCCATGGTAACTCGGAGCGGGTTGCCTGGGAGATGACCTCTTTCGGTCTCTTTGAATCTCTGCTGTAGCGTCACCTCGAACGCCGATCTAACAGATCCTGGACTGTCTTCTGCCATGATTCCCGGAAAATACCGCTCTGTTTCTGGCCGGGCTGCGAACAACGTAGGTTGAGTCTCCTACTCTCTCTTCCCACTGGTATCGTCCTTTCTGTGTGGCGCCTTTGTCCCAGGGTGACGGGCTGTATTATTGGGGTCAGGACCGCGGGGTCCACCCAAGCTATTGTCTGACTGAGAGGGTTGACGTTCTTGGGCTGGACCAAACCACTAAAGAGAGTATTTAATACTGCACGTTGGGTACAGGATCTGGCTTCCCCAGAAGGTGGAGCTGGTTTGCTGTGAAAGGCTAAGGTTCATTTAAATTCTTTTACCCTGTCAATCGCTTTCTTTTTCTTTTTATAATTGAGAAGTGAATTTATCCTTAGACACTCCTACCTCCGTCATCTGTCCCATTGAGATACTTATTTATACCTGAAATGGCAAATGTCTAAAACCTGGTAATAGAGGGTTAAATTGTTACCGACATTTTGGAAAATAAATCAGTGAAACCTTTTAATTATTAGATGTGGTTTTATTGTTTTCAGTAAATCCACAGAACATGTTCGTTTACCACAAAAAAATTCAAGCATACTGTTCTATTTTAATTTTTTGTTATATCTTTGTACCATTGCGGGGGGGGGGATATGTATATGCGTATTTTAGTTAAAAGCAAATTTTATGGTTTAATTTTTACATTTCAGGTAAACTGTGGGCTTCATCTGGTTATTCAAACATCATCTCTTCCTGAGAAAAACAAAGTAAGGTTTGAGTAGATTGATGTTTCAATTGAAGATAAATTGTTTGATATTGTACACTAACAGCAGCATGATTTAAAGAGTAGATTCTGAACTTGAAATTTTAAGTATGTATGTTTTGGTTTCTAAGGTAAAGCTAATTTTCTGTCTACATAAAGCCAAAAATATCCTTATTTTAAAAACTTAATGTTATTTCACTGATTACCAGGGGTATCTTTTTTGACACGTTGAGTATTTCTGAAATCAGAATCTTTCATAAAATAAATGGCATGTCATAGTTTAATTGGGAAGGTTTTTTTCTTCATTAATAGTGGGTAAAATGATGGCATGTCTTATTACTTATGGTATCTTAAAATGGGTAAAACATGGTAATTTGAGGAGCATGTCTATGCATCCCATTTAAAATAAGGGAAGAAAAAATAGGTTAGCAGTGGAAATATGTTAAGTTTAATGTTTTTAGAAGTTAAAATGTGAATATGATATTTTTTATTCCCAGACTATTTGCCCATAATATCTATGGCATTTCCAGGATTCTGGATTTTGGTTCAATTTTTGAGATTTTGAGATAAACATGTTTTTCTTTTGCTCCTGTCTCACCTCGGCAGTCTCACTCACCCACCTCCCACACAACTATAACTCAAGGCACAGCATGCTTTTTCCTCCTTTGACTGAACTGAGCTGAATACCTCCAACAATCATAATTTACTTGTATCCAAAACAAGTTGTTAAGTAGATGCCCCTGGAGGAACTCTAAAGTAAAGGGAAGAATTTACAGTTAACAGCATGAGGAGAAGAGAGTAGGAGGGCATGAGGCGGGTGGATTGCAGGACAGGATAAGCCAAGCAGGCAGCAGTTGATTACATTATATGTGTGTGTGCCTGTGTTTGTGTATTATGTATATAAAATAACAATCATCTCAAATACATAGCAGTTAGCTAGATTAATTGAAAATATTCTTTATTATAATTGGGCATAATAGATTCCCTTTAAATCTTTCTTAGCTGATTTCACTGGACAAATCCTTTTCTACCATTACAATGTTTCTAGGAACTATGTGACTCATCCAAATTCCTTCCAAACCATTCACTTTCTTTTGTGTGGACATATATTCTGAAAAATACCTTTAGATTATGTGTTTCCTGAAATTGTTGATAGTATGAGAATGAGAGGTATCATAATTTTTTGAGATTATACATTTAGGATTTTTTGTGGCTAATTTTAGGTTGTTTTAGTTTTGTTTTTTTCAGTCCTCCTAATGAAAGAATTCTTTTAAAACAATTTAGTGAAAACCCTCCCTGGAAAGCTTAAATATACAATTTTATTATAATTGGACATTTGAAAGTATTTTACTGAACAGAACAGTGATTTTTTTTTTAACAGCATTTTGTTTTTGTCATGTGCTTTTTGTTTCTTTTTTTTTTTTTTTTTTTT